GTCTCTCAACAATAAAATCACAAACAAAACGTATACTTTCATTCCCACTCTAGCGGGCGAACAAAGACAGCTATTTTTATTGGATATCTTCTTCTTCAAGTGCCGTCTCCATCAATAGAGGTTAGCGGTTATGGTGGCAAACGTTTGTCTATCTTCAGCTGCTCTTAAGAGTTCCTCAAATCCAAGTCCTGTCCAGTTTCTGATATTACGTAGCCAGGACAATTTTTTTCTTCAAATTCCTCGCTTTCCTTCTATTTTGCCTTTTATTATCAACTGAGGGATGTAGTATTTCTCGTTGCGCAACAAATGCCCTAAATAACTGGTTTTTCTTCTTTTGACTGTTCTCAATAGTTCTTTTTCTAAATTGACTCTAGCTAGTACTTCTTCATTTGTTTTTCGTGCTGTCCAAGAAATTTTTAAAATTCTACGGTACACCCACATTTCAAATACCTCGATTCTATTCAGGCTCTTTATTTTTAAAGTCCACGTTTCGACTCCGTAGAGAAGAACAGGCCAGGTAAAACATTTTACAAGTTTTAATCTCAATTTGATATTTATATGTGTATCGCAGAATAGGACGCGCATCTTAAAGAAACTATCCCTAGCTTGAGCAATTCTCGCTTTAATTTCTTGTTCTGGGTCCAGCTTGCAATTAATCCAACAGCCAAGGTATTTGTATTGGTTTACCTGTTCTAAAATATTCTCATTTATTTTTATAGGTAAGGGGATATTCTGTTTTCTTTCGATCACCATTACTTTTGTTTTTTTTTTCGTTGATCTTCATTCCAAACTCTCGACAAGCATCCTTAAGGTGGTCTATAACCCTCTGTAAGTTTGTGTCTGTATCAGCCAGTAGGACAGTGTCATCTGCATATCTTATGCTAGATATTGGTTCTCCATTAATTTTTATTCCTGTGGAAAGGTTTCCCAAGGCTTGCTTGAATAGTAGTTCCGAGTAAAGATTGAACAGCATAGGGGATAGTATGCATCCTTGCCTTACTCCTTTATTTATACTAATATTTCTAGATGTATGATCGTCGATCCTAATCTTGGCACTCTGCCTCCAATATAAGTTCTTAATTAATCGGAGATCTTTACTATCCAAGTTAATGCTCTGCAAGGAATTTAACATTTTATTATGGTTTACGCGATCAAATGCCTTTTCAAAGTCTACAAAACATAGAAAGACATCCTTTTGTTGGTCGTAACACTTCTGCAACAGTACTTGTAATGCAAACAAGGCCTCTCTGGTCCCCATTCCGGCTCTGAATCCAAATTGATCGTATCCAACTTCTTTTTCACACCTTTTGTATACCCTGTTGTGAAGTATTTTTAATAGAATTTTAAGCACTTGGCTCATAAGAGCTGCTCATCGCCTGGAGTTAGCTTGTTTTGGAATGGGAATAAAAATAGATTCTAACCATTCCTCTGGTATTTCCCCAGTATCGTAGATTGTATTAAACAAAATTAACAAATCAATGTTATTACTTTCGATCAATTTAAGTATTTCAGGATAAACTTCATCAGGTCCAGGGCTTTTGTTGGTCTTTAATTGTTTAATGGCATATTCCACTTCGACTTTTAGAATTGGTGAGCTTTCAATAACATTATTTATTGTAATGTCTATTCTTTCATCTCGGAACAGCTGTTGTATAAATTTTTCCCATTCTTCTATTTTATCTTTGGTGTTATGAATTAACTCTCCGTTGTTATTTACCAGTGGGCAATGTTGTTTTTTGCGGATGAATGAAAATTCTTTCACCTTCTTGTACATATTAAAGTAATCATGTCTATGTTCTAATTCTTCTATTTCTTTACATTTTTCTTCGAGCATTTCTCTTTTGATTCTTTTATTTTCCTTCGTATTTCTGTATTTAATCGTTGTAATCGCTTGTGTTCTTATTTTTGTATTTCCTTCTTTCGTCTATCATCTTTAGAATAGCTGGTGTCATCCAGTCTTTTTTTGCCATTAATCGTGTATTTGGAATTTCTTCCCTTGCAGAATTGACGAGGATGGATTATATTTGTTGCCAAGTTGTATTTATATTTTGGATATTTATTTGGGTTCGGTCTATTTCTGAGAGTTTTTCATTTAGTTTTACAGTGGTTTTATCTTCAATCTGTACATGTTTTAGTAGTTCCATATTAGGTTTGTTCTTCGGCTTTGCATTTTTTATTACTTTAATTCTTGTGCGAATATTTGCTACTACAGGGTTGTGGTCGGAATTTGCATCAGCACTAGGATATGTTTTTGTACTTGTAATGGAGTTACGAAATCGTTGGTTGATTAAAACATAATCTATTTGATTTCTTATTATTCTTTCTTTTGTGTGTAGCGGGGAAGTCCAGGTGTATAACCTACGTTGAGGTAACTTAAACCAAGTGTTTGTTGCTATCATATTGTGTTGCTGGCAAAACTCTAATAGTCTGTCTCCTCTTTCATTTCGTTCTCCTAGTCCGTATTCTCCTACGATATTTTGGAATTTCCCTCTTCCTCTTTATTGGATATAAGATAGGCTAAACTGGAAATTGATGATACTGGGACAGCCCCCAATACATGGCGAAAAAAAGCCAGACCCCGGCTTCTGCAAAAGCTCAATCAGAAATGAATTAAAACATTTGTCTCTGCGATGATAATTCACACAATAACGCAATCTCAGCAGCAAAAATTCTTCCACGGATTAAGAGTGTTCCTCTTGAACTTGAATACTTTGATCGGCGCACTATTTACTTCAATTCTCACGCCTGTCTTAATTAAAAACTCCGATAAAATGCCATTTGGATTTTTATTTTATTCCAAGAACACTAAAGTGTTCTTCGCCGAAGTTTTGAGAAGAAATTCGAATGTTTATAACAAATTTTCGTTAGACTATTTGAAAGATAATAATAAAACCGTATAGAGGATGGAATTTGAAATACGTGAATTAAAACTACACAAGGAACGTAGGTAGGAAAATTGCTACAATCCCACTTTCTTCTCTCCTTCTACATTTGACGAGTGACTTGTGTGATAAAAGTTATATCCCTAAATTTAATGTAAGACTCGGTCATTAGGTGGTTCTCAGAAATGAGGCATACGGCTGTTTTCTTTACATACAAGTACACTTTGATTTTGTTCATTGGTAGTATTCTCATTTGAGGAACTTTGTCCTCTTTCGATTACATCAGGATTCATATTTATTTGTTTCCTCTGGTTTCCTATGTATCATTGGTTTCTATCTGGTTTTCAAGACTGCCGTGGACATCATTGTTTATGCCATCCCCGCTCGATTTCTTCCGATCCATTCTTCCATCGATAATTATCGTGTTATACCAAACTTCCCTAGCTACGTTATCAATGTTATCGGAACAAACATACCATAATACAAACAGATCTAAAAATGTAGACACCGCTCCGTTATTTATGACGTTCCGGTAAACGTATAAAGTATAAACAGACATAATAAGTTGGTCGGTGTTAAGGATCTCCCTAACTCGATTTTACAAAGTTTTCCTCGGTAAATATTTCCGCTTTGAGAAATTTACATTATCACGTTTCGACCTTTAGAAGCGAACAAAGGAAGAGCGAGCTGCTCCCGCCTTTTCCTTCGCTCGTAGGTTCAGTTTTCTGCGCGAAATCGATCGCCGCTTGCGTTTGTTGGGTGAATCTACGATCTACTCATTTTTCATGTAGAAGGTGTGTTCAATATATAATTGACTAAAAATTAGAGGTACACAGAATCAGATTCGAATAGTCTACTGCTACCTGTTACACTAAATTAGTCAGATGATGGTTGATTTTCATTATTGTTTATTATTTTAACAATAAATTTGCTTAAGAAGAAGTGCTAAGACGCAGGATAACTTATGTAAGTTCGAGGCGTCGGGTTTGTAGAAACGCACGTAGGGCGCTTCGACATTACGGTCACCGGTCTACACTCTTAGTATCCGAGACGAGCCTTTCGTGTGGCCACTCTACTCTCATTCCACAGAACCAAGGTGAGGTTGAACGTACTGCATCCCTGATACACTCTTTCCCCATTAAGGGCGTCGGGTTACGACACGTATCCACCTTGGGAGACTTAAGAGTGATAGAGGAGAGCTCCTAAGCGGCGACCTCTCAAACGTGCGAGATCGAGCCACTGCCAGCGTTTACCTTTCCGCCCCGGGGGGATAACGGACAGGTGTGCGTACCGCAACACAGGTACTATGGTTAGAGTGGAGCCCCGCGATGCTTTATGCAACGCGCCACCCTCAAATGGTGTAGGACTCAGGTTGGTGGCTAACTAACGGTCGTATGTTTTTAAAGGCCAGGTAGAGCAGGGTCCAGGTGAGGCTTTACTACTCATGCAATAAACAAATGAGACATTTTTATTCAATTATAGCTTACATCACGAACCGAATCGATTCCATTAGTTCGTAATAAAATGACATATTGGTGTTGAAACTAAATAAAAACTAATAAGTTTTATACGAACACAATATTGCGGTCATTTTACCAAATAAGCCGGTGTTTTTGTTACCACTCCGTCCATTATTGCATGTGTTCTGACTTGTTATTCATTACTTTACATTTCTGTCTCGGTTTTTTCATATTCTTCACTCCAGTAAGTTATGCCGGGATACAAATTTAACACCTGACAGGTGATCCATAAAAATTGGAAATAGGTCATTTCCTTCCTTTTTAATTTATTCGTTAAAGTTAGTACTTCCATTAACTAGACTATTTTCGTAGTATGATTATTTATGACAGACCAATTAAAATACTTCAGTTATTCATATTTTTAACAAAGAAACATAAGCAATGCAAAAGGAAATAGAAAATTCTTAGTTCCTAAATAACCAAATATCGAGATTAAAAGTAGTAGATTTATGTCTCAAGTAATAATCAAAAAAGCAAGCACCTCTTTTAAATATACTTGTCTTGGACAATTAAGGTTGTTATATTTGTCTTCCGGTTAAGGGCTGCTTTTTCGTTATATGTTTCTTTTTAACAATGTGTTCACGATGCCTAATTTTTTTTAACCAATTTGTTTTTTGTTACAGATAAGATTACGGCAGGCTTGACCTGCAGGTCATGGATGTTACCTTCACCAACGTACTGGAGGGCGCGCGACAGTACTTCCAGGGGCTGCCGACAGGATCTAATTCAGCGGTGAGCCCCGCATATTCTTCGGAACAACACCTTAGACATGACTATGATAGAGGAATACCGCCATCTTCCGGTGCGTACTGGTCGTCGCATCCCACGGATGCGCAACCTTCTCCGAGAGATCACACGCCCGGTCAAAGAGAGCACACACCGGTTCAGCGGGAGCATTCGGTGCTCAGGGAGCATGCGTCGACGCCAAAAGAACACCCTAACATTCATAGACCGTCGTCCCATGGGTCTGATTCCTCTTCGCGGCCATCGTCTCATCAGTCACCGTATGCACCAAACGTTCAGGTGCCAGTGGAACAACACAGGCAGTACTATCCAGGTAAATTATAAACAAAGAGTTGATTATCTTAATTGAAATTATAAATAATTTTTGAGTAGATACATATCCTAAAAATAATGGACTTTATTATCCTTTATTTTTCTTCCAGTTTATATTCATCGTTGTTATTAGTACACTCTTTTATCCATTTACATATATCTTTAAAGTTTTACGCAGATGTAAAAACTATTACTGACCAATTCAAGACTAGAGATCTCACGAGATGCTAAGATAGGAAAAGTCAGACAAAGTAACATTATTGAAGAATTTATAGAAATGAAAGGGGAGACTATTTCGAAGATTTTTGGAAAGAAGATAATCTGTGTATAATGAATACCTTTTCAAACTACCTAAACGGGGAAATCTCCAGCGGATACCCCACGTACTCTCATAAGAAATTAAATTGACTACATAAATATCAGTGAGCGCTATAGAATGCAGTAAAATCTGTAAAAACTTTTCCTGATGCTGATGTTCCATCTGACAGTCTTTTGTTGGCAAAATTAAAATCAAATCTTAAACAGATAAAATAACAGCAAACAGAATTCTGACAGACTTGACATGGATTTTATTAGAAACAACAGTCAGGTGATTGCAAACAATTCAGAGAGCAATTTCGAGAATAACGAATAACAATATTCCATCGAGGATCATTGGAATAAAATCAAAACGGTTTGTAAACAGCTCAACTCCTTCAAAGATAACAATAGAAAAAAGCAACAGTGGATGAACGATGAGATTTTGAATATAATGGACAAAAGACGCAAATTTAAGAATCAATACGTCAAAATGTATAAACGAATTAATAAGGAGATAAGGACTAAAATGCGAACTGCAAAAGAAACATACTTCGAAAATAAATGTTTGGAAATTCAATATTTACAGGAAAAACGTTATGCATTTAATATGCATAAAAAAATAAAAGTAGTAACGGGTCAGTACAAAAAACAAAAAAATAACATCGTTGCTAGATACGGCAAACTGATTATCACTGATTTGGACAAAATAGACAGATGGAAAGAATTCATTGAGGAAGTGTTGAATGATCCCGATCTTGAAATTAAAGAAGTAATGATATGACCTGACATAACTATGTACGAAATTAAACGAGCAGTAACATAAGTAAAGACAAGAAAAGTGACGGGACCGAATGGAATACCGAGTGAAATAATAAAGCTCTTCGAAAGTTCAGACATATAAAACCGTCTATTTATGTAAATAATACCAAACTTGAACAAGTTGATAAAATCGTTTACCTTGGACAGCAATTAAATTGTAACGCAGAAAGTCACGGCGAAATTAGATCTAGGATAGAGTAGGCTAGAGCTGCTTTTAGAAGGATGTCCAAGGTGTTGTGTAACAGAGACCTAAAGTTGGCATTGAGGATCCGCCTACTTCGCTACTACGTGTTCTCGGTCTTACTTTATGGTGTCGAGTCCTGGACTGTGAATAAAATCTATCTAAATCGCCTTGAGGCTTTCGAAATGTGGTGCTATAGAAGAATTTTAATAAAGTTTCCTTGGTGGAGAAAATTCGAAACTCCACAATACAACCTGATGGTTGAAGAACTTGCGAGATTGGTATGGTGTTGATACAAGCACGCTATTTAGGGTGGCAGTGAATAAAATTAAGATAGCTATGATGGTAAACAACGTTCTGAAAGGACATGGTACATTAAGAAGAAGAAGAAAGTTCAGGTAAAAGATCTCTTCTTCATCTTTTTAATAAAATTTATAAAACAGGCTGTATATCAACGGATTGACTGCTGTCGACTTATGTGATGATGAAAAAGCAAATGCGAACCATCAGTTTGGTGAGCCATGTTTTAAAAATATTTTTTCGAACTTTGCACTCAAGGATGTACCAAAAAATAGAAGAACAACTTAATGACTCGCAGTTTGGAATCCGCAATAACTTTGGAACCAGAGAAGCACTAGGTTAGGTTATGGTACAGAGATGCAGAGATGTCGGCCATCCAGTTTATATGTGTTTTATTGAATTTGAGAAGGCCTTTGATCGAGTAAGACATACTGAAATGATAGCCATTCTTGAGCAGGTAGGTATTGATGATAAAGACTACGTATCAATAAAAATCTTTACTGGCATCAATGTTTAAACATCAGGATAGGCCAGGATAATTCTGAAGATAAGTAAGGCAGGGCTGCATTTTGTCCCCACTAATATTTAAAATCTATTCGGAATTCGGTTTTTCAATAAAGCATTGGATGGTGTTCAATGTTGTATCAAAATAATACTGTGTTGTATCAATATTGATTATTTGGGGTATGCGGATGAAACGGTGTTAATTGTAAATGGCCATAAAGACAAAGGTAATGGTTTTCAGTAAACCGCCAATACAACCAAAAGTAGTAACAGCTTATGGAGAACAACTGCAGAAAACCAACAGTATCACTGTAATCTAAATCAGAACTGAGATATGAACAAAGAAATTAGAATACATATAGAACAGACTTAGAGTCACTCAACACGCGATGGAAAGAGCAATGCTAGGTATATCACTTAAGGACAAGAAAACAAACACATGGATAAGACAGAAAACCAAAGTCACCGATGTGGTGCAAAAAGCATTAAAGCTGAAATGGGAATACGCTGGACATGTAGCCAGGAGCGATCTAAACAAATGGCACAGATCAATTTTAACCTGGAGACCATACCAACACAAAAGACCCAGAGGCAGACCTCCTATGAGATACATATGATCTGAAAAGGACTGCCGAAAAATTGGCTACAAGTAGCGTACAATAAAAAAACAATGGAAAGGAAGACTTGAAGAGGCTTATGTTCAGATGTGGACGTGAATGGCTAGACGAAGAAGAAGAAGATATAGAACAGGCCAGAGGTGCATTTTATGAGATGAAAAAAATCTTATGTGAAACCAATATTACTTTGAGACTGAAAGTTAGATTAACAAGATGTTATGTATTCTTTTACATGGTGTCGAAGGTTGGATTTTAACAGAAAAATTTCTAAGAAAAATGGAAGCCTTTGAAATGTGGGTACATAGGAGAATTCTGCGAATAATTTGGTTAGATAGAATTCGTAACGAGGTGTTTTGCAGCGGATGTTTTGCAGTTACGGTCAGGTCAGAACTGGTCAGAACAGTCAAAAATCGCAAACTGGAATATTTTGGCCATGTTATGCGTCAACCAGAGAGATATAATATACTTCATTTAATAATACTAGGTAAGATAGATGGAAGAAGAGGGCCAGCTCGAAGACGAACCTCTGCATCCGTTTTACTAGCTGCCATCAACAAAATTAGTATAGCCAATTTGATAGCCAACGCACGATAATCGAGCAGGGCATAAGAAGAAGAAGAAGATATATATCTTTAGTCTATTTATTTCTTTAGTCTTTGTTTAAATAATTTAATAATATATTTTTTTGTTACAGCACATTACCAAGAGCATTATCAAATGTCTCAACTCCATCAACAGCAACATAATAAACAGTCACAACATCCGCCGCAACAACATCCACAGCAATCACAACATCTCCAGCAACCTCAACAAGCTCAGCAGCACCCGCCGCAACAGCAACATCATCCTCAACCTCAACAACCGCCGGAGCAGTACCAGCCATCGAGACAATCTTTTGAGTTTTCCCGGCCGCAAGCACGAGAGACTACCACGTATTCTCCCTATCAGGCTCATATATCCGCAGCCGGTTCTCCTTACCAACAAGCTCCTTCTCCTTATCAAGTTCCATCTCCTCAACAACCTAGAGCGCCGTCTAGGGAGCAGATGGTTCCGCGTGTGCCATCTAGGGAGCAAACTATTCCCAGGGTACCATCTTACGAACAGTTAGTTCCAAGGGCTACGAGAGAACAGCAGTACACTCAGCCAGCTGATGCTTATTATTCGCAATCGTATTCATATTATCAGCAACCTCAAACTAAAGTTGCAACCAATAATGTCCCGTATAAACCTCCTGTTCAACAACAGTATCCTGCCTCTACCCAGCAACAAAGTATGTATTATAAACAAATATATGCCCCGCAGCAAAATCATCAATCTGTATTTGCTGCTTCTAGGCAAGAAATTCAAACTTCCCAAGCTAGTGTACGAACTAATCCTGTCGATCAAACTGTCAGAACTACTCATAATTTACCCCCTATAGCTGCGATATCCAATTATCATTCCAGTCGTTCAAGAGAACCTGCTCGTCCCGTTACAACAACCACTGTTAATAGAACGAGAACTACTAGTTCTACTTCTTACACCTCAACTCACAGTATTCCTACTACAAGCTCTATAATTCAACCCAACCCCGCAGTATCTGTACCAAATTACCCGAGTTATCGAACAAATCCTTCTCATATATATCAACCGGCTCCAACAGTCACTACTCAATCATATACTCAAGTTATAATGACAGCTTCCAATTCAACCGCAAGTTATTACCATTCAAACCAAAGTCAGTCTTCCAGTCAACATTTTCAACATTCTGGAATACCTGCAAGATCTCATGCAAATGAACCGCCACCTTCTACTTCTACTGCGGACAACAACAATGGTCGTATATTAGTTAAACGAGAGTCGCCATTAGATTTGTCTGTGAAAACAGTTAGAACTCCTGCAGATTCTACGCTAGGAGATGCTGATCAAGATATTCGAAACAAGTATCTTCAAAACCATCGACCATCTACATTATCGGCCCATAACTATCCACAACTGGACGTGAACTCATTTCAAAGAAATCTCACTCAAAGATCTACGCAACTGACAGCTGCCACTGCGCCTAAAGTAGAATTTCGGCCTAATTTCAACGTGCCAAGTCTAAATCAACCTAGAAGGCCTTTAGAAGAACCTCGAAGAAGTATAATTCCTGAAAAAGCTCACTCCAGTAACAAATTGCAACAACTGGATCCCAAAAACGTTATGTATAGGTACCCTACAGCTTCGGTACCGACGTCTGCTCACGTGAACTCATACATACGATCAGCTCCAAAACAGCAGTCGATTCCAACCAGTATACCGTCAGTACCTACTCCTAGATTTAACGTGAACGAGATTACGCCGAAGAGACCGGCTGAAATTATAGTACCGCCAGTAGTTCCAAATAAGCTTCCTAAGCTTACAGACAACTGGCGGCAATCTATAGATTTGCAGATAGAAGAACGATTATCTACCTATAAACAGCAGCAAGCAAAATTAGCCTCCCCCACCAAGGGCCCCTTAGTAAATGGAGCATTTCAAGATAAATCTAAAAATTCGTATCCAGTCTATGATAAACCAAACTACGAAACTACTCCTCAACATTCCACTTACAATCAGTATCAGCATCAAGCTACACATACACAAACCTATGTTCCATCTCCCGCTACACCACAATATCCTGGTTACAACCCTACGCAAACATCGAATTCGTACCTTCAGCCTACCTCTAGGTCTAACAGCAATCCTTCGTTAAATACCGTATCGAATTCTAAGAACACAGTAGGCGCAGTAGATAAACGAGTTTTGAGTCTGCTACGAAACAGCTTAGAAACTAAAGGCCAAAAGAAATTAGAACAATTAAAATCTAATGACAATTTCTCACCTCGAACCGATATCCAGCATCCCTCGACGGATGTTCAAGCTCCTTTACAACCTAAACCGGCCTTTGTAAGCAGAAACAATGTGTCACCATTTACGCCTACAAGTTTTCCAGACAACAACATGGCTTCTATGTACAAATTTCATATTCCTAAAGCAGTTGATTCCATTAACTTCGAAAATATCAAATCGAATCAACTACATGACAAACAAACTCAAGATACTGTGATAACTAATCATACGAATAGTATAAGTCCTGAATGCGATGGCCTTGCAGCGTTCCTAGCAGCTAGAATACGTACCAAGGGAGAACTGAAACAAGGTGGACCTCCTGCACAAAATGCGAACAACCACAAGAGCCAACTTCAAGAAGTTATAGAAAACCAACTCAAGTCACCAATCAAACAAGATACATCTCAAAGTTCCACACTTTCATCTAGTAGTTTAAGTGCCAGTCCTCCTAAGCTTCAAAAAGAACGTCCCACTGGTGCTTCTGCTCCTAGGAAAAGATTATTCAGTAGAAATGAGGAAGACCCTACGAATTCTGCGCTGCCTCCTAGGGATCCTGGTCTGCGCAGTTCATCAGAAACATCAGTGTTTGATTTCCCAGATTCCGATTCTGAAAACGATGTTAATCGAGAATCACTGGAAGCGATGCGTAAATGCAGAAAGTCAACAAAACAAACTACTCCGGTCAACGATATCAAATTAGAGATGTCTCCACCAAGAGTTCCTATACCAGAAGATGACATGTTCTCTCAACTCTGTGATAATTTTTTAGAACAATTAAAAAGCGGTGTAGGTAAAAGAAAAATTAAGAAGAAAGAAACGGACGGAGAAACTGTAGTAGATCTAGAAGATAATAAAGATATATTTGATCCTGAAATAGTTGTAAAAATAGAACAACCTGATTTCGAAGAAAAGACAGAAATAATAGAAAAAGAGGAAGAGGTAGAAAAAGAAACAACAGAAGAAAAAGAAAATAACCAATCTTTGATGAAACCTAAAGTGGAACCACAGGAGGATGCTGCAATTCCTATCCTAGAACCGGAAGAAATAAAAAATGAACTAGAACCAGTCGAAACAGAATCTAAGGAAGAAGAGGTATTTATGGCTAAAAGACAGCAAGTTAGAAAAAGAATATTATCTTCAAGTGATAGCGAAATGGGTGATAATAAAGATAGTAAAGAACAGGCTAAAATTGAAGACAAATCTAATACCGATTCTACAAAAATTGAGGAAATCAAATCTGAGTCAGAAATCAAAACCGAACCGCCAAAAGAAAAACCTACATCAGAAGAAACTGGCAAAGAAGATGATAAAAAAATTGAAACTGCGTCGCCCCAAAAGACCGATGAAGCGGTTCCAGTTGCCCGTCCTTACAAAAAACCATCATTTGGTGATGGTTCTGATTTTTATCCTGGTTGGGAAGAGGGAGTGTACAAGTACAAAAGGTCTTTACGTATGCCTCCAACTTTGATCTCATTGACAAGACCTCCATCTTTTCACAGGGTGTCAACCTCTCTTCCAGACTTAGACCCTTGTCCGCAATCACCGACAACTTCAATTTCCTGTGATGATAAAGACATGAAACCTAAAGACAAATGTATCAAGTCTGAACCTTTAGACAGTGATACAGAATCAAATTCTAGTTTTAACATTTTTTCAAAGAAAATTAATTACGATTCTGAAGGTAGTTCTTCTATTAAGAGTTTGCCAAATTCGGTAAAGGAAGCGTCAATTTTGGATATACTCTTAGAAAAATGTGTAAATAGAAAACGCAAGAAGTACAAAAGAAAAGACGACCACAAGCCTAAAATCATTCCCAAGGCAGAAAGTGAAGTAGAACTACTTGCCACTCCTAGTTTGGATATAAAAGAAGAGAATAACAAGACAAATAAGAAGTTATCGAGATCTCCTGTCGTTAAAGCTGAATCACCTCTTCTGGGTTTTAGGAAATCTACCATAAGTAATTATAAAGATGCTTTCTTGAAATCCAACAATATATTAAATAATCAGTTTACAACCGTTGTCATGAATTCGAGGACTCGGCGTGAAACCAGGGTTCAAAAACAAAGAGCTACAATCAAAGAAGTCTTCGGCGAAGACAGACCTGCTTCAGCGCCCCCTGTGACATGTGTCAACGATATCCAGATAAAAGAAGAAGTTCCAGCGGAGAATCGTTTAGGCAATCTAGTTGTAAGGTTGGAAAAGAAGGACTCTTTAAATGAAAAGATGGCAGATTTGAAAAAAGAACTAGATTTAAGAAAAGCAATGAGTTCTAAGACAAACATTGATTTGAAAAAAGAAGTAGCAATAAAGAAAGAAATCATAGAAGCTGATACTGCCAGTGCTGATGCCATCGAAGAAAAAGAAACTAAAAAAGACGCTGATACACTTAAGACTATAATAAAGACTGAGGTAGAAGAAGAATCGATTATCGAAGACGATACCAGAAGTTTGGACAATATCACTATAAAATCAGAGACACCTTCGATAGATGGGGACGAAGGGAGCGTATCGGGCAAAAAACGTGGCAAATTCGGAAAGATCAGGCGGAAATTGAGTTCTGGTTTTGATTACATTCGAAAGAAGAAGAAAGTGAAGAAGGAGCCTGTTGAAACTGACACCGTTGAGAAGAAAAAGAAAAAAGGCACTGTTTCGAAGACTCTCGAATCAGTGGATGACATCCAGAAGGAGATCAAGACCTGGGTTCTTAACAAAGGAATTGGAGAAACCCATTTACACAGAGCTGCTAGATTAGGATATACCGTAAGTATACAGGAGTTTTTAGTAGTTTTCATGCGGGCTTTACACTAAAAATAAATTGTCAGCTAAATTCATGAAATAAAATTGAACATTTTCGTAAGTTTATTGACATTAATTCAGTGCTACCACCATTTATCGACTTATGATAAACTTAGGTTAAGATTTATTATTTTATTTATTTATTCTTAGTTTGTGTCTTTTTTGTTGTAGTGACACGGAATGTTATATTTTATATACTTGTTTCATATCCCTATATGATACAATTTCAAACCTAAATGACTAACTCACATTAATAATAATAATAACAAATGGACAGTATTAAATAACATTCAACAATATAATTATTGGTACCACTGATGCAGTAGCGATATCGTGGACACAACGGAAAATTCATTTGATATAGAAGAAACTTGTACTTCCAAGATTATGACGAAATTAATGCAGCGAATTGACGAATATATTGTTTTTTGTCCATTTATTGCTAGTGTAAAGTCCGTATAGATTTTTTTTTCTTGTCCAAAGGCTCACAAGTTTGCAGTTTCTTTTGGATCGGTTGCTATATATTTTTTAATAACAAATCATAAAAAATAGGTAAAGAAATAATAAATAAGACTTACTCACAATCAATTTAATTTAACTATCAGACGACCGGTTTCGCTTTCTACAATATGCAAAGCATCTTCAGGTCTCGATACAAAGTAAAACAAATGATGCCGGTACTCTATTAATAGATGGATGGTAGAACATGTTTGAAACTATTGTATATTGTTGAATGGAGAACTCAATACTATTATTGCAGTTGTTTGACAGTAAACGGGAAGTTCTTGAGGAGGTAGATTTGATCCAATGAATTTTAGATATGTGTGAGATTGTTTGTTAAATGTAAGTTGTGTAATATATTATTGTGTTATTAAAAGTTATTTATACTTATTCCAGAGATATATTTTTGAAATGTGTGTTATTTATTGAGTAATTGTTTTATGAAGGTGACATTTATGACAATGAATAAGTGTAGATGTAAAATTGTGTGGGTGTGCAATTATTTCCAAACTTGTAGTTATCAAATTACTTTGATAAAGTTCTATTGGCAATGATTTAATTATTGGAATGGTCAAGTGAATAAAATGGTAAAATACAAACACTTAAGGATAATTTAAACACACTAAAAACAGAAAACACTTAGAAGGGACGAAACAAACATTGAATTTAAAAGGGAAGGACTTTAAAAACACTACATCATAGTCTTGGGCACAATGAGATCTTAGATTATTAGATCTTAACACCACTAAAATCTATATGTTAACAACAAGTTATCTGTATGTTAACAACATGATAACTACAAGTTTGGAAATAATTGCACACCCACACAATTTTACATCTACACTTATTCATTGTCATAAATGTCACCTTCATAAAACAATTACTCAATAAATAACACACATTTCAAAAATATATCTCTGGAATAAGTATAAATAACTTTTAATAACACAATAATATATTACACCACTTACATTTAACAAACAATCTCACACATATCTAAAATTCATTGGATCAAATCTACCTCCTCAAGAACTTCCCGTTTACTGTCAAACAAATGCAATAATAGTATTGAGTTCTCCATTCAACAATATACAGTAGTTTCAAACATGTTCTACCATCCATCTATTAATAGAGTACCGGCATCATTTGTTTAACTTTGTATCGAGACCTGAAGATGCTTTGCATATTGTAGAAAGCGAAACCGGTCGTCTGATAGTTAAATTAAATTGATTGTGAGTAAGTCTTATTTATTATTTCTTTACCTATTTGAAATGGACTCACACAAGCAACACATTCATGATTTAAATCATAAAAACTTAAAATTATAAAAAAATTTGTTTAAAAATAAAAATGTATATTTTTGATGTACCACCCATACCGCTTAAGTGTATAAAAATAGATTGCGAATTATTCTCAAACATACCGAATATACGTCAAAATTTTATAAAAATTTTCAAGCTTTTTCAGAGACCTTTGTAGCACTAATATTCCTAGGCTAATAGGGGTGGTAACAGAAGGGTGAAAATAAAGTGCTGTATGTATTTTTTGATGCCACGTCATAAAAAACTAAAAATTAAAAAGTTGGCCAAAAAATAAAAGAAATGTTTGGGATGAACCACCCTTGCTCCTTAGGGATACGAAATATAGATTACGACCTATTCTCACACCTACCGAATATGCATAAAAAATTTCATAAAAATCGGTGAAATCATTTCGGAGGAGTATTGCAACTAACTCTGTGACACTAATATGGCTATTAAAAAAAAGTTGAATCGTTGAATCTTCGTTAAGAATTTCGGGGATACATTTACATGCTGTTAACTCTTCCTTTTTTTGTATATTTTTTACTTGCGTGTTATTGTTCTTTCGATAGCTAATGGTCAGATCCACATTTTGATCTGCGGTATGCCCCTTACGTCATTAGACTTCAGCTGGGAAGCTTGGGGTTGTATAATAGACATAATCGACTATCGAGCGCAGGTTTCTAGTAGGTTGTATCCATGTATATTTTTGGATATCACTATGCTGAAAAACCCATTCATAATTTTGAGTGACACTGTTTCACAAAATTCTTTAAGACGCATTCCGCTTTCATTATTTGTTCTCCATATTTTCCTACGTCCACGTTATTCTATTCCCTCCCTAATATGAAAATTTCACAATTTTCCTTGACCTAAGAGAATACTTCAGTCATCGTGTAGAGTTCTTCTTTAGTTTTTGGATCTGCGTCTTCACTTGGAGTATACACCCCAACAATTAAGATATGGTGTCCATCCTTTTTTTATTTCTAATACTAAAGTTGTTCATCTACTTCGGTCCAAAATTCGACAAGATTTTTTGAATGGCTATTTGGACTAACTCTTAGCTCTGTTATCTTTACTCACACCACCATAAATTTACTCTCCTATCTATTAATTTCCTTTTTCTCTTTTCTTTGTTTCTATAAGGATGCATATATCTACTTTTTTTTCTCTAGCTCTTTGAATACTTTTGGTTGTTTTGTCCTAAGTCCCTGTATATTTCATGTAGCCAATGTCATAGTTCGTTTTCTTTGCAATAGTCGTCGTCTTTCTATTCCACCGTTGTTCCGAGGTTCTGTGTCGAAATTTTTAGCATTTGTTCTATTTTTTCAAGTGGCGAGTTGCTGGTCCGTCGCCTCAACCCTCCTCCTTTATCCGGACTTGGGACCGGTAATTACTGAGCTATTAAATTCATCTGCACTTTCCGGAGTGGAGTTTAATAATTGTTTGGAGTTACGTTCCAGGTTATTCGGTTTAATTAATAAATCCGTTTAATATTGGTTGCGTCTATTTTTTCCGTACAAGCCTCTTGTCCATAGTTCTATCTATAATTTATGCACCCCAATTTATTGGGTGAGATCGAATACTGTCAAAAACCTCCATTATATTGACATTAAATCAGGTGTAACTTTCTTTATATTACTATTTACCGTTCATTTAGATTTTTGACATCGGTCGTGCGTTCTATGACTGCCACATTTTTTACTATTGTATATGTGTTTTATTTTAGCTAGAATTAATTGTCTATTATTGCAATTGTAGGATGTCACAGCTTATTGCCTGGAGAAAATGGACTGCCACCCATCTCCAAGAGACAACGCAGGTTACACTCCTCTACACTGGGCTTGTTCCAAAGGACACCTTCAAATAGCGAAGCTGCTTTTACTTTATGGTGCTAATCCGAGCGAAAGTGCCCAAGGAGGTATCAGGTAAGTATTATTATGCATAAAATTAATGCTTTGGTAAATCTTATTCACACCATATACAAGATGGTTTTCTGTCAATAGCAATAATTCCTAAAACAAAAAATGCAAAAGACGTCAATAAATGCCGTACTGTGGCATGACGCAAGACTTAGACCTTAATGAAACCTGTTAGTTTTACCCTACTAATGACTCGACAGTAATCCTGCGTAATACGAGAAGAACCAAAGGTTTGGACTTACTCTAGAAAGTAATGTTGCTAAGCTAGACTCCGTAGGATTATGCCTTAAGCCGAAAATACGCATGCCTGTTACTAGCACAATGGCATACCAGTACCTAGCAAGCACCAGCTACTGCCAAATTGGCAAGTGTGTACGTTAACTGGCATACTAGTTCCTGGCATGCTAGCTAATTGCAGAGAATTTGATTTTTGTTGCTAGTAGCCTGCTGTGAGATGCAAGGCGCATGCGTGGGGAGTGTTACTGGCATGTGTGAACGCGCGGTACCGCTACGGGCATACCAGTAGCTAGCAGATAATTGTCAGATAAATTGTTGTATTGGTGATAAAAATTAATCGTTTTATTTTTAAACTTATTAATTTAAAAAATGTTTCGTTGGGGTGATGAAAAAACCATTAAATTTATTGCTATATATAGTAATACATCTCTATATAAAAATAAAATAGTCCGTGACAATGCTTACACAAAAATTCAAGAGGAAATGGGCGGAGGTGTTACTATAAAACAAATATATATATATATATATAATATATATATATATATATATATATATATATTATATATATATATATATATATACAGTAGTCTCTCTCTATAACGATTCCCTATATAACGATAATTTCTCTATAACGATGAAAATAGTAAACGTTGGTTGGTTCGTCATAAGAACAATGTATTAATTGTTTCTCTATACCGATATCGTTCTCTCTTTATAGCGATAACTTTTTTAGCGTTCAATAGTTGATGACAAATGTGTTATTGTATTTAAAGTTCAGACTACCTGAGTCACGAATGAAAAGGTCATTGTTCAGCGGTTGTTTTGTTTTGCGTTTAAGGAATGCGGCATACACTCTTTCTTATCAGAGGGTTAAGTGACGTTTATTGTTCGGGCGGCGTAATTAACTGTTATCACACAGATGTTGTCATCTATTGACGACTTTTAATTTCCAGTTTGAGTTGCGTCTTAGTGTGCCAACAGTCAACATGTTTTCAAAAAAGCGTAAAGTGCTCTCGGTGGAGGAAAAACTATCGATAACTCGAGCAATAGAGAAAGGTGAAAAGCAATCGGATGTCGTTCGCCGGACGGGGCTGTCTCAGTCAACTGTGGCTACGATATGGAAGGACAGAAAAAAGTGGCTTAAAGCGGAGATGGAGGGCGGTAGCAGGAAGAAGTTGCGGAAACCTCAGCACGAAGATCTAGATCGCGCTATGCTTCAGTGGTTCCAGCAGCAGCGTATGAAACCATATTCCACTTTCTGGGCCTGTGGTCAGGACAAATGCTGAATTTTTTGCAACTGAACTTGGAATTGAGAATTTTAAGGCATCTGAGGGTTGGCTGAGCAAGTGGAAGATGCGACACAAGATCAACTACGGCCAAATCAGCGGAGAGGCGCGCGATGTTAACAAAAACGTAACGGATCCTTGGCTAGAAAACGTGTGGCCTGGACTGAAGGCACGATATGCGTCAGACGACATTTTCAATGCGGATGAAACTGGATTGTTTTTTAAAATGACACCCAACAGAACTTTAAAATTTAAATCGGAATAGTTGGTGGAAAGTTCTCTGGAATGCATTACAATTTTAGTGACCGCTAACATGACAGGTTCAGTGAAGCGAAAATTGTTAGTGATAGGGAAGTCGAAAAACCCGCGTTGCTTTAAAAACATAAAAAATCTACCGGTGACATATAAAGCAAACAAGAGTGCGTGGATGACCTCGGAAATTTTTGAAGAAGCGATAAGAAAGTGGGATATCGAGCTTAAAGGGAAAAAAATTCTTTTGCTTGTAGACAATTGTCCTGCTCATCCTGTATTGCACGACCTTCAAAACATCGAACTCTGTTTTCTGCCAGCAAACACAACGAGTGTCCTTCAGCCCATGGACCAAAGTGTCATCAAGAGTTTAAAAAACCATTACAGGAGAAGACTTTTGATGGAATTGGTTGAGAATAATGGCGATCTTAAACTAAACATTCTTGACGCCATCCTAATGATTAGTAAATCCTGGGACGAGGTGACGAGTAATACAATACAACATTCCTTCAAATACGCAGGATGGCTGGAAGATCAAGGATTGGCTTATGATGAAGATGACCTGCCATTAGATGTTTGGGCCAGACAGTTTGAATTTACTATCACCTACGGACCGGAAGAGCTAACAGATTTTGAAGAAGTTGATGAAAATGTAGCTACAATATCTGGACTTTCTGACGAGGACATCCTGCAAGCAGTTCGTGTAGAAGAAGAAGAAAACAGTGACTCTGAAGTGGAAGCAGAGTCAGAACCAGCTCCGACCCCTCAGCAGGCATTGGATGCGGCAAAAGTACTGCATCGATTTTTCATCCACCAGGAAGACGATATGAGTGCTGTAGAAGATTCGATGCGTCTTCAGGACAAGGTCAGGTCAGTTCTGTGGAAAGGGAAAAGAAGACAGACCAAGGTGACAGATTGTTTTGATAATGTAGGCTAAATATATTTTACAGTAGCATTTTATTTTTTTATTGTACAGTACACATGTTTTAATTGCACAGTCATTTTTTATACTGTATTGCTTATATTATTCGTTAATAAATCTATGTGGAATACAATGTTAAGTCATTTATATTCGTTTTGATAATTTTTTTTAATTAAAATAGGTTATTTAGTACAGTATTATTAATATTACAGTACCGAATTTTGTCTCTCTCTGTATAACGATCTCTCCTTATAACGATGAAAATTCCCGGTCCCTTGCATATCGTTATAGAGAGAGAGGACTGTATATATATATATATATATATATATATATATATATATACTATACTACAAAACAAATACTTTAGTTTCAAATAAAAACCTCTATTGTTTACTAGCACTGGCATGTGTAAAAATCTACCTTTTTTCGTCTTACCAGTATAGGCAAGCGAGCTACTGGCATGCCAATTACTAGCAAATGTGTTTTGTTCTTGTCAGTTACTGACCTATGCCGGCAACGGGCATGCCAGCTACTTTCTCAAACTACTGGCATGTGTGTACCTGGCTTTAACTTGTCCAATGACTGCTTTCTAGTCAAATGTGGTTACTTGAATTCCTTATTTGATTGGCTCAAAACTATATGACTTTTACTGGACACACGTATCTCGTTACAATTTGCAGTTTTATTAAAACAAAAACAACTCGAGAAAGTACATATATATACGTTTTTGTGAAACAGATATAAAACTATTAATATCCAAAAATAAAAGTTTTCAACCACTGCATTCTTCCGATTCTTACACTTGAATATCCACCAGCGCTAATGTAGATATAATATCGAAACAGGAAAAACCTGAGGAAGAAGAAGAAGAAGAAGCTAAGACATAAACAGCGATGGAAAGACAATCAACAAAAGACTGTCGATAGAAACAGGAATATCTGTATCTGGATCTTGATATGAAATGTCATAAAACTTACTTTGGAAAAAAAGTAGTTTGGATGCTACCAACCAAATCGATGGTAGATGATTATCCGGCCACGATATTGGATGGGAACGAAGGAACCATGGACATTAAAAAGACACCACAGACACAAACGGTAGATGACTTACAACTCATGCCAGTTCGAGATGGATTCACAAGGTAGAGAAGAATGGAGGAATATATATATATATATATATATATATATATATATATATATATATATGTATATATATATATATATATATATATATATATATATATATATATATATATATATATATATATATATATACAACAAAGTTTATTAGGGCTGCAGTCAGAAGTTTGGCCGGGATGTTACAGAAACACTCTTTTGACTTTTGGTCTAGCTTTCGGAATTGTTTTATTCCTTTTTCAAAACATAGTCGTTGAGATTATTTATATAAAGCTATGACACTCAACATTAATAACACACATATAAAATATAACATAAAATAATGGACAAAATACATTTTAAAATTTAGTTAAGGATAGTAAAACTTCGTTTGTGACATATTTTAATGGTGTGACCACACCAAACCCAGAACATCTTTCCTAACAGTAGTAATATTCCCGAATATTAGACTTTAGAACGAGAGAAGGTTTATCACGTGTTAAATTCTGCCCCTAAATCCATGGTTAACAAAGCAGACATTAAACAAGCAGATGATGTAGACGTCAAATACAAAAATGAAGACCAGTTCATAGAATTTGAACCAAACAAATTTTCTGTGAGCGCGATTATACTAGAAGGTTCTACTGATAGAAAAAAAATCCGCAGCTGATCTTAACCCTATTTTGTCTAAAAGTCAAACTAAAATGGATATCCCAAAACGTAACATACCTCTCAGCAGTACAACCCAATCAAACAGCAAAATTGATCTTCTAAAAGAACACAAATGTATACATGTAGATTGATTACATGTTGCGACTCGTAATAATGATACCTTTTTTAGAATTGTTTCTTATTTCTTATTTTTTTAGGCCGCTTCATGAAGCAGTGGAGAACGGTTGTGTTGAGATAGCCAGGCTACTACTTTCATATGGTGCTGATCCCACATTGGCGACCTATTCAGGTCTAACGCCCTTGGCTCTAACCAACGACGAGGTAACCAAAGACTTCCTGATGAATCATTTGAACGATATAGAAGGAGAAGCTGGATCGCAATGGAATTTACATGGTCCAGCTACTGTGTTTGGTAAGTTTTGAAATATATACATTTACGCATATTTATTGAACTCTGCTATTTTATACTTTTCCAAAAAGCCTCACACAATAAATTGGTTCATTCAAATGATCAACAGTTAATACCAGTGAATAACCTTTTACCACGACCAAACAAGTCAACTTCAAAGAGTCAAAAGGTAAATAATAGTCAAAGCATATATATTTAGATGGAAAATAAACCACAAAAATATAAACCAAATGTTTAAATATTTGAAATATATTTACAACTAACAGTAAAAGAAGATACTAAAACAAAATTGAAAATGTGATGCAGTTTACATATGTGGGAATCCAAATGACGAGAACGGAAATGAAGAACTGTTAAGGATGCGAATTGCTTCAAGTACATTTCAAAAATAGCAAAGTAGGCATTAATTAGAATAATGGTAACATATAATGTGAAACCTGGGCATTGTGAAAAATATATCTGTTGGGGCTATAGATTTACATTTATGTAAGGTCTTGCATTCTTTGTCAGAAAATGTAAGTTTCAATATTTATTTTTGTTCAGAAAGATCTTTTTATTTATAACTCTAGCTGACACTTGATATTTTATTATAGATCTTACTAATGTTTTAGATCCCGTGGACCAAATGGGTTACAACGTTGTAGAAGATGCCCCTGAACCAGATCCCGCGATAGAGGAAGAAGAAACGGAATTCGAATTGTCAGAATCACTTCCACCTAACCTCTACACGTTACGCAATGAACCCCCCACCGACCGATGGGTACTGCTGCAGGATCTCTCGACGATCCTCAAGATCAAGTCCAGAGATGCTCTCCTGAAACAGATCTGCCCGCCGAGCCAGCCCTCTACATCCAGCGGCATTGCGAACTACAAATCGGTGCTGCGAGAACTCAAGATGGCGGAGTTCTTGGAACAGGCGCGGTGTTGTCAGTTTTTGAACGCTGGTGAAAAAATCAACACACGCGCAACTAAGATAGCGTTAGTGAAATATACCGACAAAGTAAAGGAACTTCTGAATATCGAAAGTATGTTCGTAAAGCCGAGGTGACCCGAGGAGGACCCCTTGGGGCGGTTGATTAGTAATTATCCCCTTAATTTATGATAAGAATGAAATGACGTCATTTCGTGATATGATACGTTGCCTCACGTCACCAATTTTCCTAAAATAACTCTTTCCGACATAACCTTAAGTAACAGCTAAATGTGCTTAGGTAATGCCCAATAAATGACGTCATGTCTATTCTCCTAGAAATATATCAATATAAAGAAACCGTGATATTACTTTCTTATTGTGATTTAGGTTTGCAATTTAGTAAGATGTAGGATGCGGTATTAATAGATGTTTTGTACTAGATTTCGTTTTAAAAAATCGACAGCTCGTGGTGGTTTCTTACTTTGGTTTTAATGTTATTTACTAATTCATAGATATACGTTAAAATATTTACAAAAAATTACGAGAAAATCAGATTAGTCGTACAACAAGAAACATTACACTTAAAAAATAATTAATTTCATTAAAATAACATTTTATGGCAGTTAAAAAGTAATATTATCATTATCACTGAATGACAACTCTTCCTTATTCCTTTTTTTTCTTTGTTCCTATTCATGGTTGGCTTTCCTAAACACTTCTTACTTTACAGGGTTGAAATCTCCTTTTTGTATACAGGTTTTAAGAAATCTTACTTCCCCATTCATCTGGTATTTTCCTTTACAATTCATTAAAAAATAAACATGTCAACCTGTTCTGTTTCTTGTAAAATGGTTTACATTTCTTTAGGGATGGTATCTGACCCAACTGCTATTACTTTTTGACTTTAGGTACTATTTTTGTAACTTCCTTATATCTTATTTTTGATACCAGTGCTATCTAACACCACGTTGTATTTTTTTTTGTTATCTACCTATGTATGGATTTGAGAATGTCAATATCTTCGTATATTCATTATATCACATCCTAGCAATGTATACAGCTCATCATAGGCTCTGCACCTAAATTTCACAATATCTGGATCTGCGAATAGCTGGTGTAATTCAAAGTTATATCTTCGACGCCATAGTCCATTTTCGAAATCCTCCTCGCTAATTGTTACCTCCCCCCTAATAAACCCTTATTTATTTTCAAAACTAACCCAAAATAATGCAGCAAGGTACAAACATAAAAGCAAAATAATAGTATTAGCGCTCTTGCTCGCTCTGACATAGGTACTTGTTGAACATGTTTTGCTTACAGGATAAGGAAGACTATCTGTGGAATTACTTTTTGATGGTATACGTTATTATTTTACATTTAAATTCAAAGAAGTCTTAATAAAATCATTTTTATTTAGACTTATAACTTTACAATTATTAATCTCACTACAAGTTCTAATTCTGTATCTTTTGACAACTGCTGAGTAAAAAATATTAAATTATGCTACCATTGAAAAAATAAACGCCCTTTTAAATCATCAAAAAACTTAACGAGCTTAGTTCTTTTGTTTTCATTAGTTTCTTTTCATATGGCTATGAACTGTCTGCATATCTCTCGCGACTTGCAACCGTCTTTATTATTATTTTATTCACAGTTGCAATAGATAGACCCCGAAGGAGATCACTGGATGTATGTACCAAGCAGCATGAATTATATTCGTTAGCCTTTCACTGAAATCTCAGAATGGCACCTATACTACTTACTACTTTTGCTACTTCCTAGAATTCACTACCGTATTCCCACAATGGACAATTTAGAATTTCTTCCAACGATCCCATATATTTTTTTAATGTTGTTCTGAAGCTATTTTCTTGCAACATTTTAAAGTAATTACTATTTTAATAGGAAAAAGCCACAATTGAAGGTTAAAATAAATTTAATGACGTTTCAATCTCCACTTCGGAAACCGTTCTCAAAATACAAACATTATTAAATTAAACAAATTTTATTTTTTCATTACTTAGTGAAAAATTCTTCTAATAATTTAATTTTATCTGACTCATTTATATTGACAATGCAGACATACATTATATATTTTAAAGTAGACGACTTTAAAATGATATTGCCAATATTGCTGAGTTCCAGGGACGACTTTATTATAAGATAGTTCATTCGATTACATGAAATCAACTTTAACTTGAGAATATTCGCCAGAAAATTAATCAAAAATTAATTACACCTCATTACAGTAACCCCCTCATTTTTATGGAGTCCTAAAAGTTCATAAAACGAATATACCACTTAGACCTATTTGTAGTACCATCAATTCTCCTTTTAGTGAATTGTCAAAAGTTTTATTAAATATTATACAACCATTTGCAAATAAAATGACACATTTATAAAAATAATTTTTTAAATAAATTATCAAATGTTGAATTTAATTCAAATAATATTTTAGTAAGTTTTGACATAAATAGTTTATTTATAAATGTGTCATTAGATAAGACTTTGAATATAATCAAGACAAAATTAGAGAGTGACGATACATTGGCAACTAGAACAAGACTAAATATATCAGATATAAGTAATGGAGTTATGTACTAATAATACATATTTTCAACTAAATAATGAATTCTATAAACAAAATTTTGGTTTAGCAATGCTCTTTAGTTTATCTCCATTATTAGCCGATTTAACAAATATTATTTCTAAACGAAATTTAAAACCCACAGTATGATGAGATATGTAGATGATGTATTCTCAATATGGCCTCATGGATTAGAGTTGTTGGACACATTCCTGAATGATGTAAATAATAAATAAGAGACAATAACATTTACCATGGAAAAGGAATAAAATACTACACTTCCATTCCTGGATGTTTAATCTTTAAGAACGATACTGGATATGAGACTCAGATGTATAGAAAACCAACACACACAACAGATATTTAAATTTCAAATCAAATCACAATATTAAATTTAAAACAGGAATAATCCTTATACGATAGAGTCAAAATTGCTTGTTCTAACGAAAATTCGTTCTTGGAGGAAAAACATTTGTTAACATCTGTTTATGATTATCCTTTATCGTTTATAAATAGGAAATTTTCAACAATGGGCCGAATAAAACAGAACAACTGAAAACCAGATCGTACAGCACACACAATACGAATAATACGAGGAAAATGACGATAACATACATAAAAGGATTATCAGAAAAACTTAAAAAGGTAGGAAATAAGTTCAACATTTCAAAAATATTCAAAACAACAAACAATCTATGTTATCTAAAACTAAACCTAACATTGAACAAGAAAGAACAAAGAATTGTATTTATAAAGTACCTTGTAAATGCCATCAGTTTTATTTAGGTGCAACATCAAGGCCATTAAATGTTAGAATACGTGAACTTCAATGTTATATTAAAAATAGAGAATTTGATAGACCTCAAATATGTAAACACGTATGGGGAAATGAACATAGGATTCAATGGAATGCTTCAAGTATAGTCCTGAAAGAAACAATTGCGTTGCAAATTCCTAGGCAGAATGCAGTAGAATCTGGTTACCCATATTAAAAGAGGATTTACCCATATCGATAAAAGGAAAATACAACTACAGATTAGTAAGTCAGTAACATACATGATTTATGTTTTTAAATAACAAACATATAAAATTAGAATTCGATGTTTATTGAGAGTAAACTAAATGTAACACCAAATACTTACCACGTCGGGATAGTATTATGAGATTTTTTTCCTGGTTTTTCCCTCATAATTTACTATGGAATCACTAACAGGAGAATTTTACTGTCATCATGTCATGTGTTTTTCTTTTTAAAGACGAATTACATGCTATGATTTTTTCTGACGGATATTTTCAAGTTAAAGTTGATTTCATGTAATCGAAGGAACTATCTTACAATAAAGTCGTCTTCTTTAAAATGTATAATATATGTCTGAATTTTCAATATAAATGAGTCACATAAAATTAAATTATTAGAAGAATTTTTCACAAAGTAACAAAAAAACAAAATTTGTTTAATTTATTAATGTTTGTATTTTGAGAACGATTTACGAAGTGAAGATTGAAACGTTAATAAACTTATTTTAGCCTTCAATTGTGGGTTATTCCCATTAAAATAGCAATTACATTTTTTTGTATCGAATCCCAAGTTTCCTTTTCTTTTAAACTGGATTTAGAATGCTTGTGTTTTTATATATTTAATGTACAGATTCTTCACAGATATTATATTACCTACAAGCATATATAAACAAAGAACAAACATATATACATAAAGGGTGTCCGAAAATTTACGCAAGATTTGAATTAAATGGAAAACAGTTGATTCTCTAAGGCAAGACTTGAATTTACAAGGCAAGATTAGGAGTCAGAGAGGCCCTGGACGCAGCCGTATATCCTAGCTGGCCAATTTTAGGAATTAGACTGCTCTAAAGTCAACTGATCTATATCGAGCGGCTGTGAGTAGAATAAGATGGGCCAACATGGTCGCCAACATCTCTTGGAACTAGGCACCTTTAGAAAAGAAGAAAAAACTGCTTTTTTTTCTTTAGATTGTATTTTTTATTGAATCTCGTTGAGTTCACTGTAGTGAATTGTTTCATTGTAAAAACCTTTAGAAAAGAAGAAAAAACTGCTTTTTTTTTAGATTGTATTTTTTATTGAATCGTTGAGTTGACAGTAGTGAGTTGTTTCATTGTAAAAACTGCGTGTATTTTAGCGGAATGTGCAATTGTCTCCCATTTACTTGAATTTGGAGCCACTATTACATTTATATAATATCTTTGTATAATATTTGTATAACCTATCTACCCCCGTTTTATTTTTGTTGGTTATGTATGTATATCATATATACATAAAGGGTAACCGAAAATTTACGCAAGATTCGAATTAAATAGAAAACAATTGATTCTACAAGGCAAGCTTGAGGACAAGAGAGGCCCTGAATGCAGAAGTATATCCTAGCTGACCAATCTTAGGAAATGGACTAGTCTAACTTCAACAATCTATTTCAAGCTGCTGTGAATAGAATAAAATTGGACAATATGGTCGCCAATGTCTCTAACTCTAAAATTGTTTTTTTCTTTGGATTGAATTTTTTTATTGAATAATA